GTCCCTACGAATAATTTAAAAATTAGCTGGGCATGGTGGCATGCACCTGTAGTCCCAGCTTCCAGGGTGGCTGACATGGGAAGATCGCTTGAGCCCTGGAGGCAGAGTAGTGTTTGCACCGCTGCACTCTAGTCTGGGCAACAGAGTGAGAACCTGTCTCAAAAAATGTATATATTAAGAACATATAAATCCTTGCTCATAATAGAAAACAGTAGCATATATGGAAATTAATCAAACCTCTTCCAACCCTTCCCTCTTTGTCACATGGACTTTCTGAGCAAGTTGTATCAATGGTCTACTTTAAGGACCATCTCAAGTGGAAGTCACAAAGGTGTTTTCCCATCTATGGGAATATTGACAAGAGCTAATAGAAGGAATTTCAAAAGGTTCCAAAGTCACAGAGCAACCAACAGGAAGTGAAGGCAGGAAGGTTCCTCATCAACTCCATTAGCATAGCAGAACAACAAGATGAATGTTGTGAAGACATTGAGTCATTTTCTACAGGTACCTAGGTCCACCCCGACGGTATTCCATCACTCCCCATTCATCAGCTACATCCTTTGTGTCTTGCCTGCGCTGCTATGGAATATGCCATAAGAATCACATATATCCAGCTTCATCAGCTACTGTCAGCTTGCGAGGACCACAGTTTCCTTGAGGTCAACCTCCTATCTCAGAACAAATTACTGGACGTCACCAGGATAGCGTGGCTTTTCATAAGAAGAAATTTCTCCATATCTTTAAGTATCCTCTGTAGAAATAGTTTATATAAAGTCCTCGGGTGACCTCAATTCCATCCACAGCTTGAATTTGTGAGATGATGACTCAGACCACATTTCTGGCTCAGAACTTTCTATCAGGCTTCAGATCCATGTTTCCAAATGCCTTGAACCTCCCAAGGGTGGCTGGAACTTGAACCCACTCCACTGCCCCCCCTTTCTGTCCTAAATCTAAATTTTAGTAAACTATAGCATTACACATCCAGTGATAGGTTCACAAACCAGCAGTTGGGAGCATCCACAGTAGGTGAGGCATGAGCAGGCTGGCTTTGGTCTTCTGGAAACTGGTTTATTTGAAACTAACGCCAAGACACAGTTTCCTCTTGCTCTCCAACCCCTGGCAATTACTCTTGCTTTGGCTATGCCCTGCAGGCTGCCTCATTCTCCTCTCCTGCCCCTGCTTCTTGCCACCTGGAATCACTTCTCCAGGTCATACAAAGCACCTTTGTCCCACACAAGAGTTCAAGCAGGCTGACCAACAGAAGTCATCTTGAGGAACTTATAAAAACTATAGATTCCCATGCTCTTTCCCAAGTTACTCTAATTTAGGGAGTCTAGGCTGAGACCTAATCCACCCTGGGTACCATCAGAGAATTCAGTCTGAGCTTTAGTGCACAATGAAAAAATTGTGATGTTCTGTAACTCCCACAAGTTTGGAGTACTGTTCTCACAAGCATTGATGGCACTACACACACACACACACACACACATACACACATTACGCATGCACAAATACAAATGCATACACGTGTGATACAAATGCATTTTAGTTATGCTGTCACTGTGGCCAGGTCATCTTCAGTTATTTCTATAAATGATCGTTGAGTAAACAATTATCCAGTAAGCCATCCGGAGCTCCCAGCTCTGCCCCCACCTGGCCAGACCCTTCCCCCTTCTCCCTGATGACCTCTTCACTGGTCTCCCTACCTCTGGGCTGCCCTCTACACTTCTGACTTAGTGGTGTTTGGAAATGCAGATTAAAGTCACCAAAGTGCCTTGACCCTACGTAGAGCTCAAACTTCTCAGCTCTGAAAACAGTGCTTGCCCAGTATCTGGGGCTTAGTTTGGTCTGCCCTCTGACAGCCACTCCTCAATGCACCCTCACCATAGACATCCTTATATCTAAATCTTAGACATTTCCATATCTAAGTCTTTGTCCCCAGGTGGGATTATTTTCTTAAAATGAAATTACTAGGATAAAGGTATGAATTTTTTTTTCATTGAGTCAGTCATCAGCTGATTATTCATCTCTTACATTAGGCCTCATCTTCAGGGCAAGGAGTAAAATGTTTAATAGTTTTTTTTTAATTATACTTTAAGTTCTGGGGTATATGTGCAGAGCATGCAGGTTTGTTACACAGGTATACATGTGCCATGGTGGTTTGCTGCACCCATCAACCTGTCATCTACATTAGGTATTTCTCCTAATGCTGTTCCTTCCCCCACCCCCACCCACTGACAGGCTCTGGTATGTGATGTTCCCTTCCTTGTGTCCATGTGTTCTCACTGTTCAACTCCCACCTATGAGTAAGAACATGCAGTGTTTGGTTTTCTGTTCTTGGGTTAGTTTTAAAAATCACTCTTCTGCAAGGAAGCACCAGCTTACACTCCCCCTGGAGTCTATAGGATGGTCCATTTTCTGCCCCCTTACTAGTTTTGCAGATGATCTTTAAAAACAAAACAAAACAAGCAAAACAACAACAAAATAAAACAGAAGGTTGCTGATTTGATAATCACTATGTTTGTAATTTTCAGTTCTTTGATCATTGGTAAAATTGAGCATTTTTCGCATGTACTAATGTACCATCCATTTGTATTTCTTCGCCTGTGATCAGCTTTGGCTGATTCAGTTTTATCCTTCTCCAGTGAAAACTCGTTTCAAACCCTGTAGCTCCAAAGTGTGGTCATCGAGCCGGCAGCATCGGCATGCCACAAGAACTTCTTCAGGATGCAAATTCTCAGGCCCCCAGCCCAGACCTCCTGAGCCAGAAACTGTGAGTGTAGGGCTCAGCGATCTGCTTTAATTGTGTCCTCCAAGACTACAAACTGCCCCAACCCATGCCGAGTGAGAGAGAAGTCATCTGGAACCTAGGTGTGCAACAGGGGAAACCCGTGAAGTGACCCGCCTTACCTGGCACCAGTTGTAAACAGTACGGTGGGTGAGACTGCAAGCTCCGGAACTAGCCCGCCTGAGTTTGTAGCCTGGCTCCTCCAGTTGCTAGCTGTGTGATCTTCGGCAAATGACTTAAGCTCTCTGGGCGTCAATGTCCTCATCAGATGTGGGGAAAGTATAACCCACATCTTAGAGTTGTTTTGTGAATTAAAGTTTCAATGCATGGCACACACTTGGTGAGCCGGCAGCGTTGTCTAGGGTAATTACCCAACGTTTGTCATCTCATGCCAGGGAACTCAAAAATGCAGACATACAAGAAGTAGGTTTAGGAGTGGAGGTTTAATAGGCAAAAGAAAGAGAAAGGAGAATAGCTGTCTCTCACCCAGTGGGACTTCCAGTCTGTGGCAAAGTACACAGGGTTTTATAGACTGGCTTGAGGAGGCTGTGTCTGATTTACGTAGCGCCCAAAGATTGGTTGAACTAGGTGTGTAACATTTACATAGGGCGCAATGAAGCTGGCCACCCCATCCTAATCTTTTCATTATGCAAACAGATTTTCTTCCTGGCCAGCGCCATGTTGTTTGCTCCTTTCTGTTTACGTGGTTTCAAAGAAAAGGGAAGATGAAGCCACCATGTTTAACATGCCTGGCCCCCAGGTAGCCTTTTCCTATTGGCACAGCTGCTGGCATCCACCCATGTAAGCTTCCAGCTTGCTTATCTATGTCTGCAGCTCAACTTTTACAGCCTGCTCATTTGCTCAAAAAAATGATTTGGGGGCTGCTTTTTACTAAAAGGAAAACCTTACCGAGGGCTTCCTTACCCTCACTATCTGCCTAAATAATTTCTTTTTGACTCCTGTATCATTTGCACAGTCTCTAGCACATAGCACTTAATACATGTCAGGGTCAACTGTGGCCATTTAAATTATCACAAACTCATGAGCCTCATTCTTCCACTCTATATTTTCTTCCTTGTCTTCCAGGAACCTTCTGGAAAAAAATTAGGCTAGATCTTAAAGAAACAAAGCTCAATCTTAAAGAAACTTTGCTGTTAGAAAGCAAGAGTTTTAATAATAAATATGAAATTGAATCAATGTGTCTCCTTTGTTCCTTGTAAAAAATATGCTTTTCCTTTTTCTTCCTTCCACTGACCCAGCTTGGCCTTCCCAACTATACATCCTTGTTCTGCTCATTGCTGTCACATCAGTGGTTACATAAAGAACAGAAAATACAGCAAATGCAGAGGAAAGTCATTGAATTCATTTAGGCACACCAAAAACTTGTTGTATTCGTTTAAAGTGGGTTTGTAATTCTAAACCATTTTATAACGTTCTACCTCATACAGCAGTTTTCTTATTGGAGACTGATATGAGTAACATTTTTTAGAGGCTGTCCCATCATCAATGTTTGTGACATTGCTCATAAAAGTAGGATAGATGATATTAACATTAATACGGACAATGCATGTTCATGGGTGAGTAGTCATGAGCAGGATTCCCCGTCTTTTGACTCTGCCTCCTACCTTGTGAAGGATCTCATAGCATTAGCATTCCAGAGAGAACACTCTGGGAAATGTCTTATAGAAAAAAGGAAAATATTTCCAGGATTTGGAAGAATTGGTGAACAGATTGAAGGGAAACCTAATATTGTGTAAGTCGTTATGTATAAGAAAGAAAAAAAAAAGGCTTCTGTTTTCTCTTTCTCTTTATAGAAGTAACAAACAGGAGATGTTTTCCATGTCTCCAAAGACAATGAATTGAAAATGCTTTAGGACAATGAACTGAATGCTCTTCTGCCTCGCTCTGCCTTACGCAAAATGCTCACAAGATATCTATTTAGTATCTTCCCAAAAGAGAGACTTCCCAAGTGTGTTCAAGACTGAGCCATTATTGGGGAGTGAGGAAGTGATGATCCTTTAATACTGTTGTCCTCATGAATATTTCCAGATATTGATCTTGGTAATAACCTGCTCCTACCTGGACTTCCCATTTTCTTCCTACTCAAGAAAATTGAAAATGTAATAATCCTAACCTTTCTCTTTCTCTCTCCCTCTCCTCTCCCCTTTCTTTCTCCATTTCCCCACCCCATGTCTTTTCCCTTGTCCTCCAGGAACCTTCTGCATCATTTCACTGTGCACCTGTGTGGCCGGGATCAACTTTGAGCTGTCACGCTACCCACGCTACCTGTATGGACTCCCCGATGACATCAGCCATGGCTATGGCTGGTCCATGTTCTGTGCATGGGGGGGCCTGGGCCTCACACTCATCTCGGGATTCTTCTGTACCTTGGCCCCTTCTGTTCAGCCTGTCCCGAGGACCAACTGCCCTAAATCCAGACCCGAGAATGGGACAGTGTGCTAAAAAACAAACCCATACATACATATATATATATAAATATATATATATAATATACATATATAAAACAAAACTAAATCAAGACGATGCCAGTGCCAAGGTAGAGTTGAGTTGGCTCAGGCACCTGCATCTCGCCAGACTTTGTATTGCCTCATCTCTGAGATGGGGAAAGTGTTCCCATCCTGTGGCTCTTCCATCAGTTCTTGACTTTTGGCTTCATGGTCTCTTGAAGACAGAGCGAACACCACCTCTTGCGACCACGTCCTGATCCCCATCACTGGCAAGGACAGGGTGGTGAAGGGACAGTGACAGGGGTCTGAGGCGACACAGATGTAGAGAAGGAAGTGCCACCCACTGGGCCAACAGGAGAGGACGCCGCCCCCCCACCAGTCATATCACAGGGTAGCAAAGCCCTTAGTTCCTATAATGGAACCAAATCATTGAGGCCATTTTCAGAATCACTTCTTCTCCTGCTCTTCCTGTTCGGACTTCCTTCCAGGCCCACCAGCAACACACAAGGAGTGGAAGGGAAAACAAACTGAGAAGGACGTTTTCTCTTTGCTGCCAAACTTTTGGACAATGTTTCAGAGGTGGGAAGGGAAGAGAACATGCTGAGAGGCAAGATCTGCATCAATGAAAGGACGCTTCGGTGGATGCTCAGAAAACCCAGTCTTACCTTCCAGCTGCCTTACACCCAGTGAAACAAGAGGCCACCCTGTCCCCAGCCGCACCTGCACTCCCTGGGCCGACTGGAGCCTTGGAGTCATGCTGTGATGTGTGTGTGGGTGTGCGTGCATGTGCACTTCGGGCAGTTTCCTTTTCTTCTTTTCTACCTTTTAAGTGGAAATACTGCATTATGACTGTTGTTTCTCTATCACTGTAGTGGTTTCATGGCCCCAGATAGAGGCCCAGAGACCTAGAAATTGTCATGAGGGGCAGGCCTATAAGGGTGCCAATTCTGCAGCTACAGATCCCTGGAGGCGTGTGTGTGTGTGTGTTTGTGTGTATGTGTGTGTGCGTGCACGTGTGTGTGTGTGCGTGTGTGTGTATGTGTGTGTGCGCATGTGGTGGATGTTTCCTGAGTGTGGGGTTTTATTGTTTGTGTTGTGTTTTTTTAAATTATTATTTTTGGTACAGCTGAAATTTCCAGAGGGCAGAACCAAGAACAAAGCCACTGGGCCAGAGGACCCCCGTGGTTCTCCACATTACAGCTCTGGGACTCTGCAGGATTTAGCCCTCTAATTTTGGAAGTTCAAGACACAGCTGGGCACATAAGCCATGAGAGAAGAGGGGGAACACACGGTTCAGGAGGGAGAAGGCATGTTGCTCTGGTTGCTGCTGTACAAGAGCATAGACCAACGAGAACTTCACTACCCATTAGAGAAGCTGTCCTTTGTCACTGGACATCTGCCCTTTCCCTAGGGGTGACCTCTGTACGAATGAAAGGAAGTGGGTCACATGCAGAGAGAGCACCTCCATTTCCCATGGGCTCAAGTTTGTATGATATTGTGTAAATTAATGCAGAACTCTTGACTCTTTCCATCCTCTTTCTTTCCCTCCTGATATTCAAGGCCATGAATCCCAAAATAGCAGTCTTAGTGGTTAGCACCCAAACAGAGGTGGAATAAACCCACCCCAGTGTCTCGGGCTCATTTGAGCAAATGAGCACTGCAGGTGCTGGCGAGCAAAGTCAGCCAGAGAATTGTGAACGCTCTAGGGGTGGGAGTCTGCTGGAGTGGGCTGGAGCCACTCACAGTCATCTCAGTGATCCTGCTGGTGCCCAGCAGCCCTGGGGAAACCAGGCGAAAATCCCTGAGCTGGTGTAGCCATGGTCAACCCTGTAGCAGAGAATCCCATTGTTTCATTAACAAATACACTTTGGGAGCTTTGCCAAGCACTCAGCAGCCTTCCTTCCACTGCTGTGTGATCTGCTTCATTTCCCTGTCTTCCAACTCATCTTCCCACCACCCTCCTCCTCTTCTCACCTACTAACCACTTCTCTCTCTTCTATCTTCCACCCTCATCTGCTCCTTTGAACTTTGTGTGTGGAATTCATATCTGGATATGATATGACATCTGGTGTGCATGAATGGGGTTGAATGCAGGTCTCTCCGTGTGTGTATCTCTCTGGTGCGTTTTGTGTAAGTTTGTGTCAGTATGCACCTGCACGCAGGTGTGGGTGCACCACTCAAGACTTCCTTACTGGGGATGCTGGTCAGCTTCTGCAAAAGGTCTTGTGTGTGAGTTCCTTGCGTGTGGGTGTGCTGGGTGATAGGGTAAGGTGTGCAGCGGGAGACGTTGTTAGCTTCCAACTGGGGTTCTAAGGATTATTTTTAAAATAAAGGATTTATTCTATGAGAAGGGAAATAATTTTCAGGAAAACCCAGTTTTTCAATTGGGCATTTTATTTTTAATTTTCTTTGAAAAGTTAGATTTCTCCCTCAAGGGGAAGGGCATACTTGGGCTTAAGGAAAAGTGAAGAAAAGTATCTCAGATTGAGAGGCCTTGTGTCTTCCTTCCAAGTGTCCTGAATGGGCTCTGCCGAGGAAGGGACAGACAGGTGTCCATGAGCATCCATTTGGCGCAGAGGGCTTGTCTATGCCCACACTGAAATCCCAGCTATTTCCCAGTTGCAGGAGAGAGAGGGAAAATTCTAAATGGGGAAATTTGCTATGAACCATTTAAACTTTTTGTAAGTAATCATGTTTGAGGATGCTGGCTTACAGACCTATCATTATTTATATCCTCTTTTTTTAAAATCCCATACTTTCAACAAGTAGATTATCTGCTGTATCCAATTACTTATCTTTGTGACAGACCTTTAGCAAAGCTTACTGCATCCCGTTGAAACCTTGAGTGTCCCAGGAAAGATGTAAACCACCTGTGCTCAACTCACCATCCGCAGAGCAGGGGCTTTGAGTGACTTCTTTGATAGCGGGGCAGATAAGTACAAACACACTTTGGAATCTGATCCCGCTGGGAAGCAAAAAAACATGCCCAGCCACATGGCCAGGATAGAGGCCCCGTTCAGAGGGCAAGTCCTGGCCAATGGGAGGACTGCCAGGTGACCTCGATCCCTCTTAGCATAAGGGCTTGACCACAGATTAAAACATGTGACTCCAACCAGTTATGGAAGCTCTCTGGCTGTGAGGGAGATGAGGAGGAGGAAGAGAGGAGCCTCGATTTGTGAGGCTCTGTAGGTCAGACTCTGCTAATTCCAAAGCAAAGTAGAACCCAACCCTATGAGGGGATGTAGGGCCAATGACCTCAACAAAGTTGCCAGTCCCAACCCTAGGTCAAGTTCAAACTTCTTACTGGTATACGAACATATATGTGCTTTGAGCTCCGTGCAAGTCAACCTTGAGCCTGCGGCCCATTGCAACTCTTATTTCCTTCCCTACCCTCCTTCACTGGGATTCAGGAAAGCGGGGTGTTCTACCAGGAGAGAGGTCCCCTATCTTTCTCTCTTTGTTTTGGGAGTTATGATTTCTTCTGTTTCCTTCTCTCTCTCTCCACTCACCCCTACTTTCCTCCTGTGTCAACTTTGGTCAGTTAAGATAGATAAATGATTCATCTGTAGAGAAGCTCGGAGACTCCAAGCAGCCCCCTTCCTTTGTGGCTGTAGGTCTGTGGTTCCCTGGCATCAAAATATGAAAAATACAATCTGTGCCTGTTCCAGCTTCAATCCTCCAAGCCTTAGCTTTCCAACAACCCTACCCTTTCAACTTCAGGGATCATGGAATCACAGAGACTGGGCAGTTCCTCCAAATCTAGACAAAGCCTTCCTTAAGCGCCCTGAGCCCAGGTGCGTATCTTTCCATCAGGGATGAGTGGTCCCACCCAGCAATGCTTGCCTCTCCTGTGACAAGAGGGAAGGATATCCCAAGACTCTGAGACTGAGCCCTATATCTCAATATTCCACACTCATGATAAGATGCCGGAAATCAACGCACTGTGTGTAGCTGTCTTGACTTAGTGGGAGGATGTGCTGCTTAGGTCTCCAAAGATGCCTGCCTGGGTCAAATTCAGAATAAGGAACTCAAGTACATCACCCAGAGGCATTTAGAATGGACTCTCTCTTCACCTGGCTTATGTGCTGAGTATTAACTGATTTTTCAAATGTCTGGAAGAAGGAGTGGGAAGAAATACACTCTGGTCATCCTTTGGTGTGGTTTATGGGGGATACTTGGTTGATTCTTGTAGTTAAAGTGAAGCTTCTTTTCTGAAACGTTCCCTATCTCATGGGGACTTATCCATCCCAGGGACACACCCAGACCTTTCCAGGAAAATATGATGTTTCAGAGTGAGCGGTGATTTCAGTGCAGATAGAAAGAGCTGGTCCACACTAGCGGGTTGCCTTCCATGCCATCTTCCAGCTGGTGTGGGATAGAGTAAGGGGGCAGATTTTTAAGAACCCCCACCAGAGTTGACATACACATGTGATTCTGGTTTCTGTTTCTCAAAGCTCTCAATGTCTGGGGCTGTATTTGCCCTCTTTTCATTGATGCTGCCACCATGCAAAATGTTTCTTAAACATTACTCCTAGTTCTTAGAATATGTGATTACTGAGTATTGGGTTTCTTTCCTGAATAATACCTTCTCATTGTAGAAAGTGAGCAAAATAAAATACAAAAAAGACTATAGGATTGTTCACAATCCAGTCAGTCTGAGGCATCCACCATGGGCCCAGTCGAAATGGTCATGACCTCAAAACTTCCCCAGTGAGTGCTCATCTCTGGATTGGCAGCTGGGGCCATATGAGCAGTGCACAGCCACAGAACCACACTGGTCTGCGTCGGGTTGACCCTGCGTTCCTGGCAGCAAGAGTGCAGGACCCTGAGCCCCCAAAGATAGCAAAGAGGCCTAAAAGTTTAATGCCCGGCCTTAAGGGCAGGATGGAGCAGGGATAAAAGATTTCTGTTTGGGCCTGTCTACCTGCTTCCCTTCCTTCCTTTCTTCCTTCTTTCCTTTTCTTTCTTTTCTTCTTCCTTCCTTCCTTCTTCTTCTTCTTCTTCTTTTTTTTTTTTTTGGCAGATGCCATCTCAGTCTAATTATAGGTGTAAGAATGCGAAGCCAGAGTAACCCACTCATTAAGCTACACTTGTATAACAGTTACTGTAAATTTCACTACAGCTCTGCACTAAAATGATTTGTGACTCTGGGCACTGTGTCTTCATACTTGAACTTCCTCATCTACAAAATGAGGACAGTGATAACACCTTACCTCATGGTATATTAAGGGTGACAAAGAAATTGCAAAGTGATTTGCAAACATGAAGTGTCGTATGAGTTATGTGTGTTCTAAGTATCCCTCAGAAGAGCCCCTGCTGGAATGGAATTCTTCCATCAAGTGTCTATGCCTCGCTGCTGAACAACAACCCAGAGTGCAAGGTCATCTTGGTTGCTGAACAGGGCTGTGCCTGTCCCACTTAAGCACACCTATGGTATTCCATTCTTCATTCAGGTCCCCCAGAGAAATTGGCTCCTTATTTTACTTTACCTATTCCTAGACTTCCTTTTGTCCAGAGCCAATTTTGCAAAGGGCACTTTTATCCATCTCAGCTATTCCCAGAGGTGACAGAATGAGTAAACCATATGGGGCAAATAGCATATATGAACTAAACCAGTTAACTGTTAGCCAAGGCACATGGTCCGTGCCTTAGTATTTTTTTTAACTCTCCTAACATTATTTCTAGCTCTATATTCCCAAATGGAATGAATGGAAGCAAATCGGATTCTGAAAGGTTTCAATGATCTTTCAAGTTTAGGATGAGACCAAGTTTCAGGGAGCTGGGATCTTTCTCTTGTCAGTTGCTGAAGCCAGTAGCTGCATCAAAAACATATAGATTCTTATAAGGAAGCCCGTTAGATGGTACATTCACTAAGACATGTCTGGATGTGATCCTGTTTGGGAAAAACAGAATCCTAGGTTCTAAACAAGAAAAGAACGCCCTTCCCAAAGGATCCTCACACTTTCTGCTTTGCAGTGGATCAAGTGTCCATGTGAGGGTGAGACTTCCTCCAATGGAAGGGAAGCCATTGCTCATAGATAGAGCCCAGCCAGTAACGGGGGAGCCACCCGACTGCAGGAGGGTGTATGTTCAGGTGTGAGAAACGAAAAGCTGGGTCTGAATGTGAAGAGTTGCACAGCAGTAGCTCCAAGAAGCTGGCATCTCTTTGGCGAACACCAACCTCAGCAAATGCAACTCCTACTCTTCATTCCCAAGGACCAGGTGTTGCTCCTTAAGGAACTCTGTATCCCTCTCTCCTCTCCAGAACCCCACTCCTCCCACTGGCTGAGCTTTTCCTTTCCTTTCCGGGTCACCCATAGACCCTCTCCAGTCTGTCTGTACCAGTGCATCTGTGTTGTGAGCGTGACGAAGCCTTTCCTGTGAAGAGCTTTCACAAACTCATTCTCATCCTCCTTCCCCATTTCCACCCATGGTGTGACTGTTTTGCTATTCAAGACTATCTGTAAAAATGTACAAATAAAAGTGGAAACTGAAAATAAAGGGGTGTGAGATTGAGACTGAACAAATGCAACGATGTAGCCCTCGGTTTTCTGAGGACTTATGTGGATGGCCCTAAAATCCTGACTTGGGGTGGGCTCTGAAGGGAGGGATACCATTGGCGCAGGAGGATTTCTCTGGTTGTTTCTCTCACAGTCACCAATGTCTGCTTAGAACTCTCTGTTCTAAGGGTTTTGTCTGTAAAGTAAAATGTACTTCCCCAAAAATAAAAATAAATCATCAATGTTTGGAGGGTTATGGCAAAGGTCAACACAGAGAGCTGACTCAGGTGGCATGAGTGGCTCTGTCATCAGCTCACTCGGGGCCTCGGGGGAGTCTCGTTACCTCACCATGTCTCCACGTCCTCTCAGCCAAACGGGGATCAGGGGCTTGCAGGGCTCCTGGGTGCCCAGTCTCCTTGTATATTTTGCTGCTATTTTTAGAGAGACTTTGAGCCCTTGCCGGTGTGTGCTTACTGCGTAGGGGTCATTTAGGAGACGTTTTCTCTCTGCTACCCCCAGCCCCTGCTTTTGCCCCTCAGAAAATGACCTCGCACTAACAGCCAGTTTGCACTCAGAGTCCAGAGCCTTCTATATACCTTCTCATTCTCAGATTCCTTTTCCCACCCACTTTGACAATCTCATTTTACTATCTCTCTCTATTGACTGAGTTTTGCTGCGCTGGGCTGGGGTAGGAGAAAGAGCATCCAAGGAAATGACGTGTGTGAATTGCTTTGTGATTTATGACTCACCTTATAAATGTGGCTTGCAGTGTCAGAAGCAGGGAGTCTGGCCAAGGGATGCTACCAAATAAGAATGAAGGCAGCAGAGGCAGTGGTGGCATGGAGGCAGTAGGCAGAAGATGCGGGCTGGGAGCAGAGGTAAGATGAAGGGACCTTTGGGAAGGACAGATGGCAGAATCACCAGAGAATCCTCAGCAAGGCAGCAGAGAAGGATCCTCAAAGCAGTAACCCTAAAATAATAGGAAGTAGGAAAGAGGAGCAGGGATTAGGTAAACCTGCAGCACAAACAGCTGCCTCCCTGCAGGACTGAGAAGGCCAGCTGCCCCAGAGAGGGCAAGCACACCAAGCTTGGCCAGTGACCCAACCTCTCACCACTCCATGATTCGAGGCACCTTCAATCCCAGCTTTCCTCTCCTCTGCTGGTTCACAGCGATGACCTATGGGACCAGCTTCAGGAAGCTCGTATAGACCAGCGTCATCCAATGGAACGGTGATGCAAGCCACATATGCAATTTTAAGTATTCTAGTAGCCCGATTTTTTAAAGTCCAAAGAAAGAGATAAAACCAGTGAAATTAATTTTCAGACTATATTTTAACCTAACATATCAAAAATAATATCACTTCAACATAGAATCAATACAAAAAATTACTGGGATATTTTACATTCTTTTTTCCAAATGAAGTCTTCAATATCCGATGTGATTTTCCTGTTAGAAAACATCTCAATTCAGCCCAGCCCCATTGCTAGTGTTCAACAGCCGCACATGGCTACTGGTTGCTGTATAGGACAGCACGGATTTAGATTCTTCATTAGGAGACGGGTAGCGTGGTCCTCTCTAGTGGGTCACTCACTGTCAGAGCTGATGGAGGCAGGAGTGAGTCTTGCTGCGTTGGCCTAGAGTAGAAAGCACAGAACTCTGTTGAGGCTGCTGTCTAAGCCTCTGGAAGTTCTGCTTCACCTGCTTAGTAAGAGGAGCTGATCGCTCCTGTGGACTACATGTCCCATCTGCCCCCAGAGGGTGTTAGCGCTGCCCCAGCCATGTCCCTGATGACCTGTCCAAGTCCTAGAGGCCAAAGCAGGTCACATTCTTCAGCTGCAGGAATGTCAGCTACTGCCACCCCCTTATCCAGATCCCTTTATCACACAGTGGGGAAGGGGCGGGCAGGCCTTCTCTCTGTCAAGAATAAAGATCCTACAACATTTTGTTATCTGGTCCAGTCACTGCTAAGATCATCTCACCAATATTTGGAACTATTTTCTCAATCCCTTAATTTTCTTAAATATTTATCTCTAAGTCAAATGCTAAAAAGGAGATACCCTGGGAAGGGCAGTGGCCACCAGCAGACTGGGTATCCTAGGAGGTGGCAGTGATGGTGACAGGCTCCACCCCTGCACTGGGACTCAGCCTACCATTGCCTACCTCTCCTCCCTGCCTGGAGACCTTCCTTGGGATTGAAGAAACCTCTTTTGTTTGCAAAAAAGATAAGTGTCGAGATCTTGATGGAGAGAACAGAATAAAATGCAAGGAGCCAACCCCTGGGCATTCTCAAAGCATTTCCACGAGTCAGTACGACAAAGTTTGATTAATTTAAAATATAACATTCTGAGCCCTGTGTTACTGAGCGAAAATGAGCTGATTTGGTGAGTAAGTTTTATATATGGTCATTAGACAGGGACCATAGCCAACAAAACCCTTGAATGCCCGGAGTGTTTATGGGCCCACCAGATAATTGCTCAGTCAATATAAATTTATTTACCTTTAATTTGCATAGTGCTTTCTGATTGGTTAGACAAGGAGTGGCGTGTACTGCAGGATTCTAACAACGCCTCTGCCCTTGGAGGTAGCAATTCCTGTGGTTATTGGTGCTAAAATAAGACTAAATATTATGTTAATTTGTTCTGATACGATGTGAATAAATGTGTTGTTTAATCTTAACAAGAATGCTACATCTTATCAGATCTATTGTACTGTCTGTTCCTTCTCATAATTAATTAATTACAGGAAAGGTGATCCAAACCAGATCTTGAAACTATTGTGATATTCTGAGAGGTAAACGTATCAGGGAAGTGGGGGGGGGGGGTGAAAAGGGAAATTGCCAGGTTCCTGTGACTTTGAAAGGACTGAGGAAGGAGAGAGCATTTGGGGACTTCACTGAAACTGACTGCATCTTGCAATTTTCTTTTTCGAATTGGCAGAAATATTGTATTTCCATCGATTGAAGATAAACAAGTGTCTGGTAATTAATTAAATGACTTGTTCATGGAAAAAAAATAAATAATCTGTCAGTTGTGGAATGTAAACTGATTAAACAATTAAATAAAGAAGATTATGTTGTGTGTTTTAAAGGATTGTGTCTGCTTGGGGGTAGGGAGCAAGCTGGGAGAGGGTGGAGGCTGCAGTATTTGATGGTGAAAGGTATTTTTCCCTCAGGTTCTGTATAGAAAAAAAAGGTACAATTCTTATGTAGATGACCAGCTGAAAACTTGAATCCAGAAAAAAATAGATAGCAAACATTTCAATCATGCTAAGGCCAAAGGTACATGCTTTGAGTGTTGGGTGAAAGAAGAAAAAATGGAGAGGGAGCGATTCAGAAGAGAACAAGAGGGAAACTGTTGTTCTTTTTTTCCCTATTACTGGCATTAATAACTTGTTTAAAAAGACTTTATGAGATGCTGGAATGACTGATTACATTCTAACCCCTCAACCTGTTTCCCAGTTTCCAGTGAAGAGAGAGATTTCTTTCCTAGTCTTCATCAGCTTTGTCGCTGAGTCAGGGTTCCTTTCCGTGCGTCTACCTCTTGAAAGGTTCGGGCTCACACCTGGGCTGGAGGCTGGGGGAGTAGGGAAATGGCCTGGAGAGGCAAGTGCTCTGTAAAGCATAGTGTGTCTCAGCCAGCAGCTCTGGTTTACAGTGAAAGAAACTGGCTATGTCTGACATAAGTGGGAAAGTAATTTACTGATGAGACATGAGTAGCTGGAAGCCTGTCGACAAGAAGAAACACGTGGCTGAGCAGCCAGAATCGCATCTCCCACTGATCTGGACCGTGTGGTCACCACTGCTGGACTCTGGGCACCACAGCTTGCCTGGCTGCTGCTACCGCCCTGAGACCGTATGGTGCCTCTTCTGCCGCCACCTCCACCAGGATGAATCCCCAGCACCCTTCTTCTCTCAGGCAGTAGCTCCGGCGTCAGAATCCCACATGGGTGCACCATCTAAGGAGACTGAGAAAACAGGTTTAGAGCCTTTTAATCTTCTCTCTTGGGTGGTGAGCTCTGCCTCCCACCAAGATTTATAAAATACATAATTCCCCAAACCTAGATCTGGGCAGCCCAAAAGAAGAAATGTCCCTTAGAGGTGGGATGGCCGAGGGAGAGGAGGGATTCCTGAATGAGAGGTACATTGCTGCATCTCCGTGTGGTAGATCTCAAGGGTGGCCAAGTGGGTGTGACATAAAACAGGATGGTGATTAGTGCCGTGGCTAGTCTGTGGAAAGATGGGCACAGTGCTGGACCTCGCACAAGAAGACCTGAGTGGATTTACTCTGATATAGAGTAATATCAGCTGTGGAACTTTTTTAAAAGGGGTATCCTGGAGGTAATAGAAGCAATAAAACATTTCAAAAGTAACTGCAGGTCAAGAGAATGTGTTTTATAGAATAGATGAGGGGAGGGTTTTATAAGTGGAAAAGAACTTGAAGAAATGAGAGAACCCCACCCCAGCTTGGTAGCAGTGTTCCTTAGAAGAGAGAAAGAATGTCACACCTATAATCCCAGCACTTTGGGAGGCTGAAGTGGGAGGATCACGAGGTCAGGAGTTCAAAACCAGCTTGGCCAGCACGCTGAAAACCTGTCTTTTCTAAAAATACAAAAATTAGCTGGGCATGGTGGTGGACGCCTGTAATCCCAGCTATTCAGGAGGCTGAGGCAGGAGAATTGTTTGAACTTGGGAGGCAGAGGTTGCAGTGAGCAGAGATGGCGCCATTGCACTCCAGCCTGGGTGACAGGGCAAGACTCCATTTAAAAAAAAAAAAAGAAAGAAAGAAAGAATGGAAAGGAAATACCACTGATCTTAAGAAATGAGCAAGAACCTTTCACCCTTGCACCTTCCAGGGAAAGCAGGCGGAATGGAAGAGTGTCTGTCTCAGCTTCGGCAGGGATGATAAGATGGGGAAGATGTTCTCACCAGGTCCTGGGACTTCTATGCTGTGGCCTTGTGACCTGAGGGGTGGATGCAATCGCCAGCAGCTCTTTGAGGCAGAATGACCCTATGATCTGTGGACAGCCTCAGGTAAGCCACAAAGAGACATTCTATTCTCCTTTTTCCGGTGCGGCACCACTTTGATTTCCATGTCTGAGATCAGTTATGCAGTCCACAGAGTTTAGCAGAGACCTGGGTTTGTGGGAAACACACCTACTCCCCTCACCTTAGCTTCAGAGCCTCGGCACAAATGTTCCTAGTGAGAGCTGTTAAATAATTGCAGACAGGCAGTTCCAAGAGCTGTAACCAAGCCTTCAAAATACCCAGGGTAGCTCAGAGAGGGCAGTCTCCTCCAGGAAGCCTTCCTCCCTGGACACCCACCTGGGCAGAGAGCTTTTCCCCGAGCGCCGTGGCAGCATGCTGTGTCTCTTGTGGTGCTTAGCACCTCCGGATGTAAGTATTGCTTTTCTTGGGATCCTTGAAGGCACTAAGCTGTCCTGAAGAGCAATGATTGTGACTTGTTCATCTTGGTATCCCAACAACTAGCAGTACCTGTTGAGAAGTAAGTGCTCAATAGGTACTTACTGGTCTGAACCAAACTAAAGCCTCCCCCATCCCCCATCCATCTCTGAAAGTTGATTCTTCTTTTTTTTTTTTTTTTTTTTTTTTTTTTTGAGGACAGAGTCTCACTCTGTCACCCAGGCTGGAGTGCTATGGCGCAATCTTGACTCACTGCAACCTCCACCTCCCGGGTTCAAGCGATTCTTCTGCCTCACCTTGCAAGTAGCTGAGACTAGAGGCACACCCCACCATACCTGGCTAATTTTTTATTTTTAGTAGAGACAGGGTTTCGCCATGTTGGTCTTGATCTCCTGACCTCATGACCCGCCTACCTCAGCCTCCCAAAGAGCTGAGATTACAGGCGTGAGCAATCACACCCAGCCCACAAGTTGATTCTTAATGGCTGGTGTTAAATTCTTCTTTAGAGTTCCCCAAGACCATCCTCGGATTCAATGATTTGTCTGAAGGACTGACAGAACTCAGAAGAGTGACTATACTTAGGGTTATGGTTTATTACACAGGAAAGATACAGATTACAGTTAGCAAAGGTAAAAGGCACACAGGGCAGGGTTCAGGGGAGACCAGATGCCAGCATCCTATTATCTCCTCCAGTGGATTTCAGCACACAGCACTTAATTCTCCCAGCAATGCTGTCAGACAACATGGAAGGAGCATTAGTAATGGGGAAGCTCACCTAGTCTTGGTGTCCAGGGATTGTTTAGGGATGGGGGTGTTAGTCACCTAGGCATGGAGTACCAATGTGGCTAACCTTAGTTACTCAGTCTCCAGCCCTGTCAGAGGTCAAACTGATGACCCATGGCCAAGGTCGACACTGTAAGTCACATTGTTAGCATGAACTATCTAGCATGACCCAAAGTACAGCAGGTAGACAAAGGCACATTCATAGGCAAGATATGCTAAATGATCTATGGAGATAATTTAGAGGTGATCTATCTCCAGGACCCAAAGGCCAGAGCTCCCTTGGGATGTGCAGAGTTAGGGTAACCCAAGCCCAGAGCTGAGTCAACCCTCTATTGCACACTGAGCTATGTGCTGAGTCAGAGCAAACAAAACACACTTCCTGTCCACATGAGAGTTCCTCCCAAGTATTCTAGATTCCTCCTCTTTCCCCTTGACCTTCTACAGAAAAGCCGGGCCATGGCTTTCTTCTCCAGGGAGGACCATTATATCTAGTGGTCTCCTATCTCTCTGCTTCTTCTCAGGCAGCTCCCTGTGCGCTTCGCAAGAGGCTGGGGATGGGGGGATGAGGGTGGAAAGAGCACAGTACTCGAATCTTTAAGCAGACCTGGATTCAAGTCCTTCTCCATACAAGTTGTGCCACTTGGCCTCCTCAACGTGTCATGTAAAAATAGGTATTCCAACACCTCTGTCCCATACCACTTTAGAAAATGGAAGAGTTAGCAAATAGGAGAGTGCCTGGCCCAGAATTCAGTAACTGTTAGGCTCCCTTCACCTCCTATGCACAGTTTGTCCTTTCATATATATATATATATATTAAAAAAATTGCATTTTAGGTTTTGGGGTACATGTGAAGAACATGCAAGATTGTTGCATATAGGTACATACATGGCAGTGTGGTTTGCTGCCTTCCTCCCCATCACCTATATCTGGCATTTCTTCCCATGTTATCCCTCCCCAATCCCCACCCCCCACTGTTCCTCCCCTAGTTCTGCTGCACAGACCCCAGTGTGTGATGCTCCCCTCCCTGTGTCCATGTGTTCTCATTGTTCAACACCCACCTATGAGTGAGAACATGTGGTTTTTTATTTTCTGTTCTTGTGTCAGTTTGCTGAGAATGATGGTTTCCAGGTTCATCCATGTCCTTACAAAGGACACGAATTCATCATTTTTTATGGCTGCATAGTATTCCATAGTGTATATGTGCCACATTTTCCTTGTCCAGTCTATCATCGATGGGCATTTGAGTTGGTTCCAAGTCTTTGCTATTGTAAACAGTGCTGCAATGAATATTTGTGTGCATGTGTCCTTATAACAGAACGATTTATAATCCTTTGGATATATACCCAGTAATGGGATTGCTGGGTCAAATGGAATTTCTATTTCTAGGTCCTTGAGGAATCGCCACACTGTCTTCCACAATGGTTGAACTAATTTACACTCACACCAACAGTGTAAGAGTGTTCCTATTTCTCCACATCCTCTGCAGCATCTGTTGTCTCCAGATTTTTTAATGATCGCCATTCTAACTAGCATGAGATGGTATCTCAAAGTAGTTTTGATTTGCATTTCTCTAATGACCAGTGATGATGAGCATTTTTTCATATGTTTGTTGGCCTCATGTATGTCTTCTTTTTTAAAGTGTCTGTTCATATCCTTTGCCCACTTTTG